GGGAGGCGGGGCCGAGCCGGGTTGCTGTGCCTTCTCGTGGAGCCCAGCCACTGGCCTGGCGGTCGGCCCCTAGGGTGGAGCTGGAAAGAGCGAGTCCTGTGGAGGATGTGTTTCTATTTTTAACCCAATTGTCCGCCCTCAGGCTCACTCCTTCGGATTTTCTCATTCAAACCCGTTTTTCGCCATCCTAGTTCTCACGCTTTGTCTCCAGCCGTGGGCAGACATTCCCTCCTCCAAGAATTGTAAGGATTCACCCGCAGAAAAGGAAAAGAACTGCCTTATGGCTTCGAGGTCTTTTCTGTTTATGAAACCTCCTCACTCCCGACACCCATTTTCAGCTCCGAAGTCCAGCCCGTGCGTGGCCCTGACGCGGCTGGCGGCGTGCGTTGGCTCGCCCAAGGTCACGAGGGGTTGTGCGGTGTGAGGAAACTCGCGGCCGCCCAGGGCTGCCAATGCCCCGGCGGCGCTGTTCTGAACAAACTGTTTTGGCCAGCCTGTAAAATCCCTGGAAATTGACGATTCCAGCAAAGCGTCGTGAACTGGGAAAGCACCAAATGTTCTACTCAAATGCCGCGAAGGGACAAAACAAGCTAGATCTAAGGCCCAGATCAAGCGGGAGGAGTAGGCTTGTGGGAGGAAGTTCAAGGGGGGCAGGTACTAGGCGGGGAGTTCAGGCACGAGGCACAGGTTCCCCATGGGTGAAAGGATGACTTACTCGAAACAGTGGGAACCTTTTCAGAGCACAAACAAAAAATATTTTCAGCTGACCGCTCCAAGTGACTTTCAGTTCAACTCAAAATAACAAAATCACTAGGTTGGAAAGGACTTCTGAAATTTTCTAGTAAACTACGGTCTGACGAATACATACAAATGACGTTTAGGGCTTATATTAGCCACATATAGAAGAGAAGAGATCCCTTCAGTGTTTCTCAAAGTCGGTAAACAGAAAAAATTCACCTGGGGTGATTAAATATTCCTACGCCTCTCCCCTGGATATGGTTTTGGCTGGTCTGGGGTGGCGGTGGGGG